AGCTATATGTGGTACAACACCCTGCTGTGGCCTGTGCCTAAAGCACAGGGGCAGGCTGACAGGCCATCCTGACACACTTGGTACACTTCTGATTATACAAGCCCACAAAATGTTTCCAATATCTAAATGTTGCTCAAGACCTTTCATAACTGCATTACAAAGAAAACAAAGAGCTCAGAGAGAGCAAAAAAAGCATTGAAGACATTGCAAATTGTATCCAGATCTGTATCAAACTCCAGTACGAGATGCACAGACCAAACAGAATGGCAGACCCAAAATAAAATCTAAGGAAGACTCCAGTACTCCCTGTGCTGCCCTTCTGCTGCAGAACTGCTGCCTTGGGACTGAAGCAGGACCGTGATTTTCACAGCTCTGGTATTACACTGACTGAGGGTCCCTTTATCCTGCATGGGTGAACCACATGGGGATGGGGACTGAAACCAGACCACAGCAAACGTCCAGAAAATCACTCCCAATCAAATTTGCCTGTCCAGAATGCTGGATCTCACTATGTAACACAAACTTTTTTTTTATACAGGGCCCAACCAGCACCTGCTAATGGGTCCTTTCAAACCAGTGCCCAGCACCTGATGCTGTGACAACAAACCTTTAGACTGGCCCTGATCGGCGCTATCTTAATGTGCTGCAATGGTATCTGAGGAATTATTAAATACACCCGAGCATTCAAGACAGGAGAAATAACTTCAGAAAGTGACCTCCTCCTTTGAGCACTGCTTTAGTTGTAGTTGTAGCAAAGTCCAGACACTTTACAGCCACAGGCAGAGAGAGCAAACCAAGCCTGTGAACAAAGCCTTGTGTGAACATCCCTGCAGGGCTAAGTCAGGGTTGGCTTCTTACCTCAAACTCACAGATAGAAACAAAAGATAAAAGACAACTTCCCAGCTCTGGCTCCACAATTAGGAGGCGCCTGGGACACAAGCTAGGAACAGAAATATAGGGAGAAGCAAACGAGTCCAGTGCTTGAAAGGGGGAGGAAGGACAGACCATTTCCAGGAAAGACACAGACCACAATTAAAACCCCCATTTTCCTTGCAAAGATATTTCTTAACTTCAAGTGATCAAGTCACTGACTTGCATACACTCAGAAAATTGCTTTTCTTGTTATGTGCAAGCGTCACAGACATTCTACACTGTCCCAAACCACAGGCCACAACTGCAATTTGGCCCCAGTCTGGCAGAATGCCAAGTGAAGCATCAAGCCAAAGCAAATCAAAAGCAACAATTTTCCCAGGAGTATTGATGTGCCACAGAACTCATCTTAACAAATAATAATAAAAAAATAAGTGGTTTAATCTCAAAGTGTGAACAGTGACCAGCTGACTACACTAGATACAGCTGCATGAACATCTAGATACTTCAGTTTGAAGTCTCTGCATGCTATACACCACTTTCCAAGCATCTTTTCCTGGATTGGACACAACCAAGTCTATCAGCAGGGACTCCCTGCTATGACATCCAGCTGGGCCCTTGAGTCCCAAACCTGAGGTTCTCCAGAAGAAATCATGTCAGCACCAAGTCCAGCTGCCTCAATTCAGCTGAACAGAAACTGTAATTCATCACTACTTTGAAGCTGAACACACCTGTCAGAAATGCTGCCACCTATTCAAGTTTTACAGGATAATAAAAGTATTTCTGAGTCCTTGCTACTTTGTATTTGCAAAGAGCTTCATAGAGCACAGAGATGATGAAAACACTTTGGCTGATATTACACATACTCCGTTGATGCTCAGCTTTCTTGGAGAGGCAGCTGAATTAAGGTCAAGTATGGAAATCCAAGCCAGAAGAACTGAGAGCCTGAATGTAAATGTAAAGCTTTAGCACAGTAAAGCAACCCTGGCAGTTTGTGATGCACTATATGCTTCTAAATCCTGCTGCAGAAGAGCAGTGCCCCAGTGCTCTCACTTCAGCCACACAGCAGGAGCAGTGGAAGTCACCTGAGCCTGATGCATTCGGGTCAAGTCACCAACACTCCTCAGGCTCAGGACAACTCTGGCACTTCAGTCTACAAACACCTTCCCAGCACACCTGCCCCAGCTCTCACCTCCAGTATAAAGTGAAACCTTAAATTCAGAACTATCACAGTACGTATCAGTATCCTTTTCCACTCACAGAATAAATTAAATCTAAGTTGGTCAAAGTATTTTCAGCCAGATGCATCTTCGACATCTTGGGTTCGTATTTCCTGCAATAACTGCTAGGAACCCTACAAAGTTAAAGCCTGATTTCCTTTGCCTCCTCTCCTTGTTGTTAGATAAAAAAACATGCTAATTAGTTTAGAACTGTAATATCAAAAATGCAAGAGGAATATAGAACACATCATCAGTGCATGCCTTCATCTGCAAGCACCACAAAGCCACACTTGAACAGAGCAGCATCATTCATCCTGATCAAGGCCCTGGGAACCCGACAGTTCCCCAGCCTGGCAAACTTCCACAGCACTTCCACAAATTGGAGCATTTTTGCACAAGGAATCCAATCACTTCTGGCATTCCAGCTTCCTCCCCAGAAGAGGAGTTATATCCCACAAAATATTCTGCAAAGTTCAGTACAACTTCAGGCACCTCCCTCCTTTTTCTGCGGATTCCATCTTTCCTATAACAAGCTCAAGGGAACGCACATAAAAAATGTTTCTCCATTGTCAAAGAAGCAAACATTCCTGTTAGGTGAAGAGCTGTGGGATCCTGAAATAATTCTGAAACCAGTTACTAGTCGTTTTATGAAAAGGCCATTAAATTCTTCCCAAGTTTACAACTCCTATGGATCAGAGCGAGTGTTCCAGCCAACTGCAGGAATGGCCAAGGCCCAGGATGGAGCCCAGCACAGCCAGTCCCAACACAGGGAATGAAAGCAACCTGTCATGGGACAGGAGAGGGACATTCACAACGTGGCTGGATTGGTTTTAAACACAACTCATGACTCAACCCTGCAGAACAAAGTCACAGGTTTGTCTTCAGACAGGCTGTAAAATTTGCCTGGAATGACAGAGAAGGTTCAAGACAAAAGTCTCGTTGTCATCCACTGGGAAGCTACTCCAAGGCAGGAGGGAAAACCAAAGTCCTTGTAGCTTTCCAGCTGGTTCCTGCTGCTGATACAGGGAATGATGCAGGACACATTGCAGACTAAGAATCTGCTGCATGCAAACCACCTGCAACATTATTTCATTCAGGAGCAAGTCTTCCCAGCAAAAATGATGCCAGTGAAACCAGAAAAGGTTCCCACTGAGGCCTTAAACTCTCAATACTCAAGATCCATCAATAAAGGAATCCAGATACATTGTTTCTCACTATATAGGCAAAGATACAATGTATGGGTAAAGCAACAGTTTCATTTCCTAGAGTTCCCCAAGTTTTCCATGACACGATTTGGACAGTTTGCTAAACTTCAGATAACATCCCATATGTACCTATTTTGGCCTAAATATAACCAAAACCAGCTTATAAAATTCATTCCTGTTCTATGAGTCCAACATTACAACATCATAAACACTACTCTTGGCAGTGCTGCAGTTAGCACACCTGATTCAGCCTTTTAAAAAATACAGATTTAAAAAAAAACCAAACACAAACCACTCAAATATTATGTCCTGCATTTTGTTCAATCAGCTTTTCATTCTGAGAATAAAATGTTTTATCAGTGTCATGGAAGTTATGCTGTGATCTCCCACCTTTGTAAGGTGCATACACAGTCCTCATAGCAAAGAGGAAATTGTATTAAAAAAAAATAAAATAAAGAGAACATTTGGACATCTACCTTTAAACAGAAAAATTAATTGCATTTCAGGAAAAGTAAGACCCAGAAAAGGCAGAAAAGTCCTCCACACAGAACTGATTCTGCTGTCTTACCTCACAGCTCGATGACAAGTTGATATTATTTGGACAAACCTCAAGCATTTCATAAATGAAACAGCCTATAATTCAGTCTCAAAGGAAATACAGATTTCAGGGACAGTTTTCTCTTTTTCAGAAGTTTCCTTTCATAGAAAGTAAAATAGACCTCAAAGAAGGCTGAGTGACCTATGAACAACTCAGAAATGTTCTGGGAATTAAAAATATAAGAAAGAAGTAGAGGTCCAAAAATAAAGGAAGCATGGGTTCCACTCCCAGTTTTGATACTTTCTATGGAATAGCAGCCAAATTACCTAATCTCTGTGCTTCATATCTCTCTCTCCCCACTGCTGCTCCTCCTCCCTGAACATCTTGTGTATTCCAGCTGCACAGCTCCTCATGGTTACAAGGAAATCTCAGCACACATTCAAACCAAACCAACCCTAACAAAATTCAGCCTCAACACAATGTTATCTTGGCAAGTCCCAATGAAATACCAACAAAAAAATATGAATCAAATGCTTAGTTGGTACCTGTGAGTCCTAATAAGCCTCTGAGCAGTCACTCCCGCGACTGAGAGGACATATTGTTTAGTTTGTGCTTTTAAGGCAAACAGGAAAATAAGCAAGGCAACCGAAGGAAGTTCGCATTACCTAACATAACAGAGAAATAAATATGAACTCATGACTATTTAGAGAGCCCGGGCCGGGGGGGAATCCGACTAATCTGACCGGAAAACAGGGAAGCGCCGTCTGCCCAGGAGAGCCTCCACCCAGGAACGGGAGTCCCGGTGATTCACAGGCAAAAACCAGGAAAAGAAAAGCCCCGCCGAGGTCCGTACGGGCAAGAACGGCAGCGCTACAGAGAGCACGGCTGGGGCGAGCACCCAGAGAACCAGCCCGCGGCTCAGTCCCAGGGGTGTGAGCGACCCACAGCCCGGGGATACCGCTCCGTGCCATCACCTACAGCACGGGGAGCCCCCTCCGCCCGCCGTGCCCTTCCCGACGCTTCGGCGGGGCCGTGCCCGCAGCCCGGGGAGCGAGGGAGGGAGGGAAGGAAGGAAGGAGGGAGGGCCGGGGGCCGCACACCCGCAGTGCCGCCGCTCCCGGGCCCCGCCGCGGAGCCGCCCCGAGCGCCGCTCCCCCCGCGCCTCACCTGCACCTGCCGGCGGCAGCGGAGCCGCCCCGGCGCTCCCCGCCAGCAGCCACAGCAGCAGCAGGACGGGCCCGAGCGGGTGTCGCGGTCCCAGGGCCCGCGGGCCGCCGCCCCCCCGCCGCCCGGCGGCCCCGCCGAGCCCCCCGCGCTGCCGCATAGCCCTCCGCTCCCGGCCCGAGGTCCGGCGCCGAACGAGGGGGCTCGAGGTTCTCAGCGCCTCCGGGGAGCCCCCGCGGCAGCAGCGGCCGCCCCTCGGCCCCGCGGCATCGGCTCCGCCGCCGCTCCCCTCACAGAGCCCAAGCCCCGCCGGCCGCCGCCGCCGCCATCTTCCGGGCTACCTGAGCGCCAAGGGGCGGGGCGCGTCGTTGATTGACAGCCCGACGCACCAATCATTGCGCGTCTCACTCTCGGGAGGCGGGATCATTGGCTGGGACGGAGATAATCCGTGATTGACAGCTACACCAGCCAATCGCCCTGCAGGAGGCGAGCTAGGGCGTAGGGAGGCTGCGGCGCGAGCGCAGCGGCGCGTGGCTGCCAATCAAGCGCCTGGTGGGCGGGGCGTCGCTTGGATTGACGGCAAATTTAACCAATCGGCGAAGGGGCGGGGGAAGGGGGCGGGGCTTGTCCGGTTTCGCGCGCAGTGCCCGCTAGCTCAGGGGGGACGGCGCCCCCTGGCGGCCGAGCGTCCGCGGGGCAGGTCCGGGATTCCCGGGACACAGCCCCGCCTGGATCCCTCGGGAATGACTCCCCGGGACACAGCCCCGCCTGGATCCCTCGGGAATGACTCCCCGGGACACAGCCCCGCCTGGATCCATCGGGAATGACTCCCCGGGACACAGCCCCGCCTGGATCCATCGGGAATGACCCCCACCGGACACAGCCCCGCCTGGATCCATCGGGATTGACCCCCACCGGACACAGCCCCGCCTGGATCCATCGGGATTGACCCCCACCGGACACAGCCCCGCCTGGATCCCTCGGATGAGCCCCCAGGGCACAGCTCCTCCCACCATTCCTGGGGTGGTCCTGCTCCCCTGCAGGAGGATGGTGGGTCCCAAGTTGGACAGTGAAACGGGCACACCACCCTCACCGTGCAGCCCGAGCGCTTCCAAGGCTGGAGGTGACCTTGTTCAATTATTGATACCAGCAGGATTCAGAAATAAAGATTATTCTGGTTTAGGTTTGTGATTCTGCTGAACTTTGAGTACATGAAAATGAGGTGTCAGCTCTAAGTAGCATAAGTGGAAGTGTTAATCCTGAGGAATCAGGGGCTCTGTGCAGTGAGGAAACAGGGAAATACCACACATCTAGCAAACTAGATTTCCTTTTTCCAAATAATTTAGCAAAAAGACTAATTATGTCAAGATTATATAATGACTTTGGGAGCACAGATTGTCCAAAGAAATGTACAATGAGTGGGCCTCTGGGAACTCATGAAAGGAAAGTTTTGTGCTCGAAGTAGTATTTGGAACATGATGTCCAGGAAGACAAAACATAAACCCAAATCCCCTCTGTTCCAAAGTATTTTTTCTAGGGTAATTTTTCTTCTACCACAGGGATATTACCTAAAATCAAGCTACCTGCTTCTTACCAAGTCTGTGTCTACCTCCAGATATCCTCTCTCTGCCTTGAAGACACTAATTGTGTTACCAAATGACCCATTTTTTTTAATGTTCTAATTAATTTTCCTTCCAAAGGAAATATTTTACTTGAATAATAACATGGAATACAATCTCCTCTTTTGTTGTTTTAGTAAATTATTATTAATGCATTATGTTGCTTATCATGAGTTACTTTTAAGAAGTAATACAAACCAATAAATAGTCCCAGAGTATTCTTTGTAAGCTATCTGGAGATTCCATGGATGAGAAGCAAAATGTGATCTTTCCCCTTTAAAATCAGCAATATCTAATATACAATATGTACCACATGGGTTTTTTTTCACGTATAAACAGGCACTGACTCAATTTAAATAGCTCTTTGTTACTGTAAAACTGACTCTGGTCACCCACATGCAGCCAGGTCTCTCTGTATGGACTGGGAATATCCAGTGGGATTATTCTTCTCTCTATTCCATCTCCCTCCACCAAGCATGGACATCCAGGTTGGGGCCTCTGGATGTGAGTGTGGATACTCAAACCACCCCGTGCCTCTGTGGTGTGACCACACGGGCACATCCCGTGTTCCAGCCGTGGGGCTGAGGCACTTCTGGGCTCTGTCTCTGACCTCAGGCAAATTCCACCCATCGATAGTTTTGGGATTGACAGCAGCTACAGACATGAGGTTTAAACCTTCCCTTGTAGCTTTCCAGCAGGTTTACAATGCAAGGGTGTTCTCATTTCAATACTGAAAACAATGCACTGCATTTAAACACAGCAGGTTGCTGGATTTCCCAACCCACCCTGTCTTAATTGAATGTTAGGCTTTGATGTAATTTGCTGATAAAACATGGTGTTGTAACATCATCTGGGATGTTATGGCAGCATATCATTACAAGGACTTGTTAGAGCACTCTTTTATAATGATGGGACACTTAAGGTTTGCTGCGAATTAGTCACTGGTAGGAGCTAAATAACCAAACCTTCCAATCCTTTGTTCTAGATGTTAGTCACAGTTACTCCCTGTCTTCAAATACACCACAAACATCAAAAAAAACCCAGAGATGCAAAGCCTCATCTCCTATCTCCATCTTCAGGAATGTCAGATTCACCCGTTTACAATTTCTGCAGTTAAACACCTGTGGTAGCTCCATGAGCTTAATGGGATGAGCAACCTAATAGTGAGTAATCCAAAAGGTACTTAAGAAGAAAATATATTTACTTAAACAAAACTCTTCCTGTACACAAAATGGGATGTGTTACCACATATCACAGCCTCGTGTTTCCTGATTATGCACTGTTATCGTTGCCAAATTACTGGAGCTGCTGTTCCGTGTGGGAGGTGTTAAAACCCTTTTTTAGAGACAGATAATTGGATCAACCAAAGGATGTTGATAGTTTTATTTTCAGTTGGCTTTCTTCAATATTTTTGATAACATTATTGGTGTGGAAGGAATATTGTCTGGCAGGCTGAGCAAGTTGCCAGAGGGGTGTTAAAGGTCTTCAGTGTAACTGTGAATAAAGGCCCAAAAGATTCACAATTCACTTACTATAAAACATTATCACCCAGAAGAGCACAGGACCAAGGTCTTTATTCCACATCACTGTTTTAAGCATAAAGATTGGCTTCTCTATGTGGGAATGCTGAGACACTCTGCTCCCCCCAGAAGAATCATGTCTCATCCTTTCAAATATAACCTTTCTTTCCCTGTCAGTGTTGTCTTTTTCTATTTAACAAAGTGATTTGTTTCTCCACCTGACAGAGGCAAAATAAATATCACTGGTTTTAACCTCTGCTTTCAGGCATCAATGACCTAATGGTGTTTTTATACAACTGGAGGCTTCTTTCTCCATTCCATTACCCCAGCATCCAAAATGATTTCACGTAGCTCCCAAGGAAAACTGGTTGAAGAAAGCTGCATTTAAAACAATCAGTGAAAGAAATTTGCCCATTTGTGTTAATTATTTTCCTCTTAGTATCTATCTGTCATTCTAAAATGGGTTTAGGTCAGAACTCTCTGGTTTCTTCCCACGAATGCTGAAGCTTGCAAAACAAACCTCTGGCAAATATAGCAGTGCATATTTTGAATCAGTGGTAGAAAATTCAGTTTGCCATGATTTTAAAACGTGTTAAATAAAGACCAAACAGCTCTTTTTTTAATCCATTCCCTGTAAATCATTAAGGAGTTACGTTCTTCTTGGGAAACATTTAATATTTGGATTTGCACCTGCCACTAACATCCTGGAAAATTTAGCACAACTTTCATTTCTTTTGAGTCAGGAATACCTACCGGATTTTGATTGGCCTGATTGGGAAGGGTGCTACTTACTTTGGCTTCAAACAGGTAGAATTGGAATAAATTTTAGCGTTAAGATTTGAAGATGGATCATAATTGTAAATGTATCTTATTCAATTCATTTAAATTTACTCTATTTGCTTTATTAAATCCAATTCATTTCACTTTAGTCCACTGAACCTTTCTATGGAATCAATGGAGTTAATCAAAAGAATGAATTTTTTTGAAATAGCAATTAATTACTCCCTCAAAGGGGCATAAGAAGTGCCAACATTGGTACAAATTTCTTCTCAACAGGATTCTATCTTGTTTTACAAAAAAATACAGTAATGAATGGGAAAATTTCTTTCCCCTCTTATTACTCTGATGGTGTTGCCAGCCCGAATGTCAATTCATGCCAATTTTGAAACTGGTTTTTATGCCACTGACAACTGTCTAATGCTGAAATAAAAGATACATCTGTGGTGATAAATCTGTATCTTAAAGCTTCCTATAGAACCTTTCACCAAAATTTAGAGAGAGAAATGATGTCTCTTCTCTCCAAAGGTGAAGGAGATTTGATTAATTTCCATTGACACAAAAGGAAATGCAAAGTTATGACTTTTGTGTAAAGAAGCTGTTGTAAAACCTTCATAGCTACATTAGAAATTCCTTCCACCCTCCCCTCTTTATTTTTAGCAAATGTTAAACCATGTGGACTATTAAATTTTGCTCCAGATGCAGCAAAGCTGTACTGAATATAGTGAGAAACCATTTAACCAAATGAATGTCTAATGCAGTCCTGATCTAAATATACACTGTATGTGTGTCAAGGTAAAAAAGAAAAAAGCAAAGCAGAAGGAATATTCTCACAAACAGAGTAAGTAAGACACAACAGATCAAACAAGGAGGATGCAGCTCAGCTTCTGCTCATGCAATGCTTTCACTAACCCAAGAGCTGTGGAAGCTGCTCAGCAACTCCCAAAAACTTGTCCCATCTGAGACTCAAAAAATCAAATGTCACTGCTCAGGGCTCGGGGTGTTTTTGCACTGCAGGTGTGAGGCAGCAAGAACAGCACTCCTGCAAAGGACTAATTCAGCACCATTCCAGTCCAAGGGCAAGGGTTTAGTAAAACTACCTACAGGTTACAGAACCTACCAGTGCCTCTGGGAACAAACCATCTCCAGGCTGCAGGATGCTCCTGTAATTAGCCACGTTTAAGTGTCTTGCTGATGTAAACTCTGCTCACACAAGCTTTGCAAAAAAGCATTATCTCTTTCTGGACCTCTTGAGCAGCAGGAATCTCTTCATCACAAATCCTTTCAATAAAGGAAGGCAAATTTTTGAGCAGAAGATAAAATATGATTTGCATGTCTCTAATACTAAATTTTGGTAAGCATTGTATGTCATCATTTGAATGTGTCACCTGTTGAAAGGGAAAAATTGTTTGGAGTCCTATCAAACAGGGAATTCTTGATCAACCTGCCTATTAAGGTAATATTTTCAATTTCCATACCACTTTATAACTAACTTTATAGAAAATAATTAAGAAAAAGTCTCATACCAGTTCTAGTTCTCATTAACATTGAGCAAGCCCAGGGAAGATTAAAGGACAATGTTTTGAACATATGTAGACAATCAACTTTCATTTTAAATATCTTTAATAACCAAATCCTACGTAACTGCTCTAAAATTAAACCAGAAATTATCTTTGACCACTTACATTCCCCTTCAACAGTCTCTCATTGGCTTCCACGCTTAGTTTTAGTGAAAACATAAGCAAAGACTTCAGCCTAAGGACCACTCTGTGTATGGGGGGGAAGCTCATCCTGATTTGGAAAGGATTTGCAAAAGGAATTTTTAAAAAGAAGCATTTGGATCTAGAGGGCAGATCCAGAAAAGGATAAATGAACAGAGTAACTCTGCTGCTGACGGACAGACAGCTGGTGAATTGATGTTTTCATACACTTGGAAGAAAAACACAAGGATTCAAGATTTAGAGGAAGGTGCAGTTCATTGCAGCACTGCAAGGGAAGGAAGGATCTACCTCCTACTGAAATGTTATCCTTTCCAATCTTATATATTTTTCTTATATTATGAATGTTGCCTTCCAGAGCACTGACATTTTAACATGACCAATTACATGGAGAAGAACTGAGGTGAATCAAGACAAATTAAGCAGGATCAGGAAGAATCATGCCAGTTGGGCAAGGAGCACAAACCAATATATCCAGCACGTGGAAGCTAGAAAACAAATTTTTTGATCCTTTCCTTTATTTTTAATAATTATAGGTTCAAAAGACCATATTCAGAACAAGAGCTATTTATCAAAGGTAGCAATTGGATATAACTTTCTGTACTATTTGGTAATCAGAAGGTAAAGAGGTATAAAATACCACAGTGAAAATTTGTTACAGAGAAAGCAATGAAAACCAACGAGTAAAGCTTATGCCACAGACAAGGAACAACTGCCTAAAAACAAATTGCAGATGCATTTTAAAAACCCTTGGCAATCTTAAGGACAGTACCTTATTTTAAAAGCTTACTTATTAACTGGTTACTTACAAAACCAGACCTGAAATATGTACCTTATTTTCCTTATCCTTGCAGTCTGAGAGTCCAAAGATCATCCAGGAATCAAAGACCTCCAATCTTCCACAATCCCTTTATCTTTTTAATAAAAACAATCCAACAGAAGCAGGTCTATGAAATTATTTAAATTGTGGAGTCTCACAGGTGAAGTCGCTTTGCTTGTAGGATTATAAAATACAGACAGATAAAAAGATAGTGAAAATTTAGGCATGGATCAGAATTACTGCAACTGTCTTTCCACCTCCAGTACTAACAATTTACTGAGCTCAACTCACCATGCAGGACATTCTTTTCCCCACCTTGGTACAACCTCACAGGAGCATTGTCTGTCCTTAATTCTGCACTACCTTGTTTTGGCCATATCCCACAAGAGAGTAGAGTTGCTTTTGTGATTGATATTACTCATGTGTGCCAGGATATGGAGAAATACATCTCTTATTTTTGCCTACGAACTTTAGGAAAATCCAGGGAATGAGCTCATCTAATATGAACAGGATCTACCTGAGCACAAAAGACATTTTTCAAAATTCTCCCCTCTTTGCTGAGTCTCAAAGCTGTGACTAAGCTGAAAAGGTCTAATTTCATTCACTAAATGTCAGTAGTTACAATTTTGGTCTCCAATCCCAGAAAGGAAAAATTGGTCCAAATAAAAAATGCATTTATCTTTATGGGGAAGTGGTGGGGTTTTTTGATATCAAAGTAATGTCAAAACCAACAAATATACCTTAGTGGGATGTTTATGGTATATCAGACAACACAGAATCTAAATTACTTCTGAAGAGTAGAAAGGGGTTTGATGATAAATTGCTGGCTATACATGAATCTCCTGAATCAACCTCTATAGACACTGAGTAATCAGGAAGAGGTGGTGGCTGAAGAGATGCGTTCTCTTCTTCATATTCTCAAATGTAAATTATTTGAACATGAAGGAAATTCAGCCTAAAGATCCAAAGCTAGGCAAAATCCAAGGGCTGTAGGATGTTCAGCAGGAGGATCTCTTACTCAGATCTGGACCCAACACCAGAAGGATGTGCTGTTTCAGTGCTGTGAACTCCATGGGGTACAATGACCACCCCTGTAAATTGAGAGGAAACCTCAGAAGAGATTAAACTCGATGAGAAAACAGTTACCAGAATCTTTGCCAAAATTTTCATTCCTCTGCAGGTGCATGCTACCAGTGTTAAGTAATTTTGCCCATCCATGTGTTTTTAGAACATGGCAGGTGGCACACCCGCTCCAAGACACTAGAAAATGCCCCAATCACATCTTCTGAAAACTTCCTTTTAATGAAGAAGCAGACCAGGAATTTTAAAGATAACAAATCCCCCCACAACTTCATGTCCTAATGTACTATACACACGTGAAGAATTATTTCCTCCTGTGTTATGAGCATGTGCCATCAGCACACGGCTGGAAAACTGCCTAACAAGCTGACAACTTCTGAATTACCCTTGTGTGAGCACAGCTCAAGTTCTCTATTTATAAAGTCATACCACAGGTGTTGCCTGCAGTAGGATATTACAATGAGCAGCAGCTAAAGAGCTTTTCTCATTTCCATGCGACCCAGGTGCTCAGTTGTGCCTTACCAGTCTTCGGAGCCAGTGCTCTCAATTAGGAATTCAGGGAGCCTGGCATCTGGCACAGGAAGACGACAGAAATGAGCATTACCATTTCCCAGGGGTCATGGATTAAACATGGCTTGCACCTGCTCTGTTCACTGCTGAGCTGGTAAAAACAAGATTACCACTTTTATCCTTTCATTGGTTAAATTTGACAGCTTAACCATCCACCACGGTATGGACTACTTTTTAATTTGAACCAAATAAAATCTTCATCCCACACAAACCTCTAGACATATTTAGTTTTGTCAAGGACTTGTCTCAAAATGCTGAATCACTGAACGTAGGTAACAGAAAATGTTATTTTTATCAAGCAAACTAACACAACTCACATTCCTACACATGTTAAGTACTCCTGTCTTACAAGAAAATCTTTACTGCTCTCTGTGCACAAGCAGTAACATCAGTGTATCATGTCTGATTTCTCCTCTGCCTACATTTGATTCCAGTTGCTGGAGATCAGGACAGTTCCAAGAGCTTTCCCCTTCACTGGCTGGTCCCACCACTGGCAAAGGGCTGGTACACACATTCCTGCTGCAATGTACTTTGCTCCAGCTGGCAAACACAAGCCTGGCAACAATCTGTTAGCATTCCCTGCCTGGGCAGATGCACTGCAGAGGAAATATCCACACTGAGGGTTCCTGGTCTAATCCACTGCAAGCCTCATCTTGTAGAGGAGGTGCTGAGAGGAGAGAAAGTGGAGAAGTGTGCTGGTTTGGCTGGGATGGAGTTAATTTCCTTCCTAGTAGCTGGTGTGGGGCTGTGTTTTGTATTTGTGCTGGAAACAGTGTAGATAACACCGAGATGTTTTTGTTATTGCTGAGCAGAGCTCACACAGAGCCAAGGTCTTTTCTGCTCCTCACCCCATCCCACAGTGAGGAAGCTGGGAGTGCACACGGAGCTGGGGGGGGACACAGTTGGGGCAGCTGACCCCAACTGACCAGAGGGATATTCCACACCATGGGGCTTCATCCTCCATGTTTGCAGCTGGGGGAAGAAGAAGAATGCTTTACCCATTAAACTGTCTTTATCTCAACCCAAGCCTTTTCTTGCTTTTACCCTTCCAATCCCCCCCCATCTCCCCGGGGGCAGTGAGCAGCTGTGTGGTGCTTAGTTGTGAGCTGGGGTTAAACCACAACAAGGGAGAAGGTCTCTAGAACATCAAGCTGATCATTGAAAGGCAGGAGAACCTGTCTGTGCCTCACCATCACCTGCCAGTGACTCCCACAGAGATCTGAACAGCACCAGTTAAAGCTTGAGCTGGGGTTGACCTTCCCTGTACCCTCTGGTGCTGTGGCACTTCTGCAGGTGGCTCAGTTAGTGCACACAGTTCTCCCCACAGTTAAATTCTGAGTGAGAAACACGCAGGAGCTCTGCCATGAGTGGTTTAGTGTCCAAAGAGCTCACCAATGGATATCGCTTCCCGTATGTGCTCCAGCTGCTTTTCTGCTCTGTCATTCCTGTCCTTGCCTGAAATACAGTTTGTCCACCACTGAGAAATTCAGCACCTCTCCAGATGGCTCTGGGTATTTGCTTTCTTTAGGCAGAGTTTTGTGCTGCTGTACAGAATTGCATGACATTACAGAATATCAGAGAAAGTGTGTTTTGTGCTGTACAATGAAAACTCAATGCTCAGTCCACTGTTAGAGGCTAAAATCTAAATAAGACATAGATATGAAGGTGACCATTTGAAACACAGGCACTCAATAACTTATGGATTTGCTGATCCCGTGTTAAAGGAATCTTGCATTTAATGGTTTATAGATACATATGGATCACTCACATAGAGAAAGAATAAGGTCTGATAAATTAGCTGTTGTACACTGAAAATGCATGGACAACAAACACTAAACCAGTTATGTTTTATTTTACTGCCACTGCACAACAAGCAATTAACATAAGCACTTGTGATAATTATAAATTAAAATATGCACTTGGTCATGCACTTTGTGTATGTAATTTTGAGTTCAATTCATCATCCGAGAACAGCTATCGTATATAGTCATGTTTATTTACAGAAAGAGACTCTCAAACTGGGTCTGATTGTTTCCTGTGCAGCAATTTCAGCATAAATGAGACAGTCGAATGGATTTGAAATAGAACAGGCATTCCTGTGTTCTCTGCCTACTGCATTATTATTGATATGCTTTTGCTTTTTGCCTCATGTTACTATATTTGGCAGAAGAACTCAGGCTCCTGACTGATCTTAAAAAAAAAAAAAAGAGAATTACTGAGAAAGGATGGAACAGAATTCCACAGACAGGTTAGCACGTGATAGACATACATGTGTAAGAATGCATATAAAATCCCAACGAAACAATGTCTACACTGGTGCTACAAATTCTGTAAGCCTTTAAGCTGCTGGCAGAACCCCTCAGCGATTGTGCCCTTTGTTTAACTGCCACGGCCTTCAGGGGCAGTTCCGGCCATTCAGAGAATGAAGGGTCAGCCCCAGAGAGGCTGATCAGATACTGCAGAGATTACCAGAAAGGAAGAAATACACCCACCTAAAAGGAACGTGCTGGGAAGCAAACAGTGCCTTTCAAATGGAACCACAAGAAGCAGAAGTCAGGGATCTGCCCTGTGCTGTGCTATCTTTAGAAGCACAATACGACCCTATTTACACTAGAGCCTCAACTCAAATCAGTTGAGAAAACTCCCATTACCAAAACTAAGAAAAGAAGATGTAGCTTGCATTCACTTAAGAATCCTTTCAGACTTGGTCACCATTCATTATAGAGTTTTGTAGTTGCTGAAAAATGAGTTCCTAACTGAGAAATTACAGATGAAGCACCCTAAGAGTGAAAGAAACACAGTATGGGAAGGAGATGAGAACCTAAGGAAAATTTCATATCACATTTCCTGAAAGTGAGCTTCTGTCAGAAAGATGATCATGACTGAATTAACAAGCCCCCTAGTTATTCCCAGTAACATGACTTTCAAAAGCCTTTGATACACATAATGACAGCTTTGCAGTATTGAAGCTTAATTTGGGGTGAGTAGAATTCTTCCTTGATTTTTCTCTCCACTGACTCTGATGCAATTCATTCCCCTGAAAATACTGCTTACAAAACCAGGTAGGTCAAGTTAAAGCAGTTTATAACAAGTATGTATGAACCACATGGTTTTTTCCCCCTGCCTCCAATGTCCTGTGTATACTTCTGCATAGAAACTATTGGCTCTTGTTGAAAATACTATACAGTTCATGTAATAAGAGGCTGGAATTCTTGATGTTCCATGCATAAACATAAATGGTCTTAAGAAGAAAATTGCTGCAAGTCAGAATTTTATGCTGCTTTCAGAAATGAGAACTGGATCTAGGTCAAAACTGAAGTTTTAAATAAATACCATAAATAAATTGAGGTCTAGACTGTGCAGCTTTGGTTCTGTAAATAAGAAAGATTACTCTATATTTTCACTGACATGTAGTTCATGTTGCAATTCTGTTTTGAACAAACAAATATGGGATCACTTATGAAATATTTTTCCTAAAAGCTAATGAATGTATGGTGGAACAAAATAACAGGCTAGGATGTTGG